ATGATACATGTATACACTAACAGTCAAATGTACAATGATACATGTATACACTAACAGTCAAATGTACAATGATACATGTATACACTAACAGTCAAATGTACAATGATACATGTATACACTAACAGTCAAATGTACAATGATACATGTATACACTAACAGTCAAATGCAATATGATGCATATTATACAATGACATAGGTGATAACTCATTAATCGTGCAGTACTAAAAAATGAAATATCATAAGAGACAGCATTTTACACTGAAATACACCAACATCGTAAGGTTCCGATACAGTGAAATCATAACAATTAATAGTATATTACAATGATAATACTACTATGATAACTTTCGATGACGTACGTTACAGGTAATGATAACTGGATTTAATATAGTTACATACATTGTATCGCACATATGTCACGAATAAATACAATCTAGTAAAACAGTATAGAACAATAAAATACACTGCCATAGTGTCAATCTCCACGCAGAGTTACGGTCCTTGCACTCCCTTGTTTGTGATTGAAAAGGAACGACAACTCTGGGGGGTAGAGATTGCCATAGTGTAATAAACACGATGTTACACCTGACGTTAATGACAGTGATATTACAATATAGAAAATATTCGTCGATGTTTCGACGTTGTTAATTAATTTACCATATATTTTATATCACATAGGAAAGATAATGAACGGGCACAATCATTTTTTTTTTATACAATACACATAATACAAATATCTTATCAAATATGGTATACTGAAATGTACATTTACAGGAAAAATGGAATAAAATATTATACAGTGCTATTACGACGTTTTAAACTTAAAAACAGGAATGTTCCTAATTTATTCAATTCCTTAATGTTTTGAGTAGTAAATAACTGAATCAATTTAAAAACACTTGGTCGTTTGTAATAAAAAGGCTTAATAAGTTACACTTTAATATAAAATGAGATTCATCTTCAATATCATTAGAGTTACATAAGTTACAGAATCTTTTTGATTTCTAGGAAGGTTTCTATATCTTCCCTGTTCAATATTTAAATTATGAGTCTAAAGCGAGCTGAAGTCTTTTTATATGCGTTATGAATTGGTTTTATTAAATATGATTGCACAAAAAAATTGTCTATTAGATGTTGATAAAGGAATCCTTTCGGAGTTGTTTGGATATTAGTCAATATTTCCTGCCGGTAAAAAGTCGAAAAGTCTTTGCTCAGTGATTGTATAGATAGTTCTATCATTGCTAACATTTTCACAAAGGTAAGTTAATCCCAATGTATTGAGTTCAGTGCGGATATCTAGAATCCAATTATCATTTGACAAAATTCTTTCCTCGTAATATGTTTTTAAAATGCAATTATTCGAAGTTTTTGATTTTAACCAATATTAAAAAAAAACAGTTTTCTACATACAGACAATGGTCATCTTCCTAACTCACAATAAACTAAATTATTACAAGTACTCTTCTTAACTCCGAGTAACCTTTTACAAAAAATGTATGTGTATCTTTTCAACATCAAGAGCTTTATGAAAGCCCCATACGTCTGCACTGTAACTTAAGAGAACATTGTGTTTTGATATTAAAATTATGATTTTTGAACTTATAACAAAGCGCATACTATGTCTCATTATCCTGATCTGTAACATGCTTTTGAGTGACATGAAATTTACCGTTGTAATTAAAGAGCATGCCTAAGTAATTAAATTGGTCGACGACTTGGAGCTCTTTAGTGTCGTAAAACCATTTTTCGTTGTTTCTTATCCCGCCACCATTCCTGAAAACTACTATTTTCGTCTTATCAGTATTCAAATTGAGTTCGTACTTGTTATTATATGATTTCAGAGCTTCCAGAATATGTTGTAGCTTTTCTGGCGTTTCTGCAAAAAGCACCGTATCGTCTGCATACATTAAAAGAAAAAAAGTTAATTAAATTAATTTCATTAGATGGACAACCTTCTTTTATAAAATGAATTTCACTGTCATTGACGAACATGGAGTATAAAATGGGTCATAAAATTTCCCCCTGAAATAGACCGATTGTATTTGGAAAAAAATCTGAATAAAAACCATTGTGCTTTACACATGACTGAACTATACAACGATTGAATTATACGTAACATTTTCCCTCTAACACCCTGCTTAATCAATTTGCACCACATATGTGATCTGTCGATTAAGTCAAAAGCTTTCTTGTAATCAACAAAGCAACAGTAAAGTCTACCACCTTTTTTACTTAAATATCTATTAATTAAAGTACAAATATTGCATCAACGGTTGAATGTCCGGGTCTAAAACCAAATTGAGCATCTGTTATTACATTATTTTTAACAACCCAATTCACTTGTCGTTCATTCAATATGGAGGTAAACAACGTCCCCATGCAACTGACTAGAGTAATGCCCCTGTAAGTATTGGCATTTTTTATATCGCCTTTCTTATATTCACGCCAGAAATATATAGGTCTCCATCCCAATGGCGCCGAAGTCTTTCAATCATGTAGCTGCTACCATATAGAATCAAAGTAGGCATGGTTGAATGATTGTAATTATTGCTTTTGTTTAAAACAAGAGGCCCAATGGGCCTGCATCGCTCACCTGGTATTAATCTCACACTTGTAATCTTAAAGGTGGACTAAAATACAGCTACAGGCAGAATATCAGTGTGACCCTGAATGTCAAACAATGACATTAGGTTGAAAGTGAGTCAAGGTCATTCATTGAACAAATTTGGTAGCCCTGATTGCTACAGGCCAAATATCAGTACCCTGGGCCTTTTGGTTATTGAGAAGAAGTTGTTTAAAGATTTTAAGACATTTGACACCTGTGACCTTGAAAGTTGGTCAAGGTCATTCATTTGAACAAACCTGGTAGCCCTTCATCCCAGCATGCTACTGGTCAAATATCATTACCCTGTGCATTTTGGTTATTCAGAAGAAGTTGTTTAAAGGTTTTAAAGATATTTGACCCCTGTGAACTTGAAAATGGATGAAGGTCATTTATTTGAACAAACTTGGTAGCCCTTCATCCCAGCATGCTACTGGTCAAATATCATTACCTTAGGCCTCTTGGTTATTCAGAAGAAGTTGTTTAAATGTTTTGAACATATTTGACCCCTGTGACCTTGAATATAAGTCAAGGTCATGTATTTGAACAAACCTGGTAGCTATTCAACCCAGCATGTTACTGGACAAATCTCATCACACTAGGCCTCTTGATTATTTAGAAGAAGTTGTTTAAAGGTTTTAAACATATTTGACCTTGACCTAGAATATAAATCAAGGTCATTTATTTGAACAAGCTTGGTAGCCATTTATCCCAGCATGTTACTGGCCAAATTTATGCACCCAAGGCCTATTGGTTATTCAGAAGAAGTTGTTTAAATGTTTTAAACATATTTGACCCCTGTGACCTAGAATATAAGTCAATGTCATGTATTTGAACAAACTTGGTAGCCCTTTTTGCCCAGCATGTTACTGGCCAAATATCATCACCCTATGCCTCTTGGTTATTCAGAAGAGGTTGTTGAAAGGTTTTAAACATATTTGACCCATGTGACCTTGAAAATCGATGAAGGTCATTTATTTGAACAAGCTTGGTAGCCCTTCATCCAAGCATGCTTCCTAGCCCTTATCATCACCCTAGGCCTTTTGGTTACTGAGAAGAAATTGTTTAAAGTAAAATGTTGACGACGGACGGACGACGGACGGACCTTAAATGGTATACACTCCGTGTATCTGTATGATATCAGGCAGATGCATCCAACACTGTGCAGTCAGTCCAACTGGGCCCCTTTCGCGTATCATCCGGTTCAATCGGTTTGTCTGTTTTAAATAGATCTAATAAATGCAACATTTTCTGGTGGACCTACAAATGTTTATGCAGGCCTTCTTTAAGGCTCGCCTGAAAGCAGCATCATATTAATAGGTCCGACCTCATTTCATAAACGGACAACTCAAGCTGATCCAACCGGTTCAACCGCGGCCTAATTACCCTTATATTCAAATGGTGTGCAGTCTTCGTGATTTTTTAGCGGGATAACTAAGGTAATCAAAAATATCGGTCAGTCAGTGAACAGGATGTTAAAATCAGTCCGAAAAATCTCACCGCAATCACATGACACAAAAAAAACATTTTTATTTTTTTACGAAAACATCCTTGAAAAAGTGTGCTGGCTTTGTATGAATGGCGTCCTCCATGTAATGATCATCTTCATCTGGGAAAACGAGTGCTGTCGTGTTGCTGACTGATTTGATATCTTTCCTTGGGTTTTTTTCGTGTTTATTTCGGATTTTTCGAATTCGTCAAGGTAACAGTAATGGTGTAAATAGTATGTGCTTGTGAATAGTCCACTGCTTTCTGTTTGTGACACATCTGTCTGAGGACGGAGGTCGATCCGGATGACCATCATGTTGGTTAACCAGTAAAAGTACACTAACTAATACTGTGTACAATTATCATATATGTAAATATAACATATACTGTCTGTTCAATGCCACGTGCTGTTCGTTTCGTTAATGTGAAGCTGTAGCTCGATGTCGGACGGATATTACCTTGCTACATTAGCTGCGGCTCCGTAACACATACGGTCGGTTTCATTCTGTCGTAGTCATTGGTCAGACGTCATAACGACATGTTGTTGCTAATAGCATCAACAACATCACCATTCTAAAGAGCTACGTACCCTAGCTTTATAGGCTATCTGACAATGTGTGCTTTTGTGACAGAGTCACAATGTCTGATGTACTGACGTGTACTTCGTGACATGCGCCATATGTATTTATATATATAGGCCTATTTCTTCACATGTCGGTTAAAGTCCTTTCCATTCTTATTCTGCTAAAAGAAACAAACGTCGAAGTTGTCTGTGTCATTGTCGAGTGACAGGTATGCCTTTGTTTTTGTAGCTACTAGGTGGCAAAATGGAGTGTTAAATTCACAGAATAAAAATAATCTTATTCATGTGAAAGTGAAACTTTCATGAAGGTGTTGGACGATGCTTACAGTGAAGAATGTGTGTGGGAACTGGGTTGGTTGGTTGGTTAACGGGTTTCGAGCCTATATGAATCCGCCCTTACAGGTTTCATCTCACTGACTGAAGTCAGTGTTCTGTCGGCGTGGAACTGGGTGATTAGATGAAGTCAATTTATACATGGCCTTATCATTGTCTTGAATGCATATATCAAGATAATACACCCTTACTGGGGATATACATTACAAATCGCAGGAACTCGAACAACTTTCTAAGCCGTCTCAAAATTTGCGACCTTCCTTTGTACAATATGGTTAAATGTACTACATGTGTTATTGAATTCAAACTTTCCTATGTAAAAATATGATCACTTGGTTTTCTTTTTTGTTATTGAAACACTAATATATTTCTTGTTCAGCAACTTTTGGTTTATCACTATTTTATGTGTTAGTGTTGATATTTTAGTGACTCCTGATCCGTTGAAGCCAAGAGGCTTTAGACATCATCAAGAATGTGGAAAACGAAAACAAAAATTGTTAAACCAAAAGTTGTTTATTATGAAGAAAAGATATAGCATTTTCAATCTTAAAAATGAAGCGAAATTAAGAATAACAAACTTAAAATAACAAACTTAGAAATAACAAACTTAAAATAACAAACTTAAAATAACAAACTTAGAAATAACAAACTTAAAATAACAAACTTAAAATAACAAACTTAAAAATCTCTCAAAGTTGAGGGAATTACACCCTGTTATAAAGTGCCTACTAATTAACATCTATTGAGTTCTTTATCATGACATTCCTATTGTAAACTTCATTGTTCTCAGTGCTTTGATTTGTCCTATAAAGTTGTTTCAAAGACTAATATAATTCTCATTTTGTTTTAAGAAAAGTGTGCTGAACCTTGCTGCTGAACCATGTCACAATCAGGGATCATTGGAGCGGGAATCCTGGCCGTTGGGTTGGGACTCCTCATCAATCTGTCTATCCACAAGATAGATGAGGGTGAGTACCATCATACCCACAGTAAGGCACTGACATATTTAATAGGCTCTTCACCACCCTAAGTTACGGCCATACTGGACTTGTCTATTTCTCTGTCTCTAGATAATACTTTTTTTTCAGGCAAGTTTTATCTATTAACCTGTTCATCATGTAGTTGTGTCCTTTTCATTAAGTTTCCATAACTATTTTGAATCTGAAATATTTGTTTGTGATGATTTGGAATATGGACCAAGGTGGCAATCCCTATACAGAGTTTGTAGGTCACTCGGGTAACATTTCTTGAAATGATCCATCAGTAACAGCAGTCATTACTTGTTCAATGCCTCCACAAGGAGTCAAACCCGGGACCTCTGGTTTACTAGTCTTACCAACTGAGCTAAGGAGAAACTCTCCCTATCCGAGTTGATAGGAAGGGCTAATATTTTACCAGGGTGACACATATAGATGTTGGTGATCAGAATCTAGCCTGATATAGGACAGGAAGGGTCAATCCCTGAGCACGGAGGAGTGGAGTTATAAGGGCTAACAGAGTGCAAAACCTTTAGATGACATCTCTTGTGAGACTTAGTATTAGATTTTCACATTTCATAAAATGATTCATAGATGATGAGAATAAGAATGTAAATTGACCTGAAATCCCAAGGACTGACAGATGGGGCTATTAGGACCTGTCACATTGGGACCTGTCACAGAGTCCAAACAAAAAAACATCTCCTTTGAATCTTGGTAGTTGATTTTCACATACTTTCTACAAAATGATCCGTAGATGATGGTGATAATTTGTTTATTTGTGAACCATGTTGATGACTTGTAACCTTGTTTTTTTGTAGGTCATGTTGGTGTGTATTACAGGGTAAGTTTTCTGGTGCTTTATAAGTAGCATTTACATTGTTAATCATTGATAAAGTTATCAGGTAAAATAGACATTTTCACTCTTGATGGTGAAAATTATAAATTATAAATGATGGTGTGGCATTGTATTTAATGTGAAGAAACACATAACAACATTAGTAAATATACCTATACCTTGATATTTCTTATAAAAAGCATGCAAACCACAATTACTGACGTAATCACATGGCATATATTTCATTCAATTTTAAGGTAATGTAAAAAATGATAGAAAATGCTAACACAATTAATCAGAAGGTTTAGATTGTTTTGATATTTTTCATGTTTCATGTTTAGGGTGGAGCTTTGCTTTCGACAGTCAGCGATCCAGGCTTCCATTTTATGATGCCATTTCTGACATCCTATCGCACTGTACAGGTGAGTGATGTGTTAACAACTGTAAAGAGAAATAGCTTCACTCTCGTTCAGCTAAAGGTGACCAATATGTCATAATTGTTCTGACACAAAACCATTACACAAAGAATTTTCTAAATGGATGCTTTCACCAGTATCATTATTGTTGACTTAAAATATAACAATGTTATTATCACACTGTATATTTTTAAAAAAAATGCCATAAAAACAAACAATTTCGTTACATATTTATTACATGCAATATTACTCATAAGCATGCTCAAAATGATGTTAAACATGTTCTCAATTGTTATTATAGACAACTCTGCAAACAGATCAAGTAAAGAATGTTCCCTGTGGAACCAGGTAAATTATCTGTGATAAATCATAATAATAATAATATACAGCATTTGTATAGCGCCCTAATTAATTTACAAAATTACTCTGAGGCGCTTTACAACACATGAATAATGGATTCCTACAGTGACAGTTGTGAATAAGGTAAATAAAAAGACATACGAATCAGTTCTTTACATGTGATGTGCTAGGTTTTTGTATTGTGATCCTTTTTTTTCATTTTATTTAATTCAATATTCCTTCAAAGTGAAGTAATTCGTGTTTTAAAAGATGAGAACAAGTTCGTTTTTTTATCCAAACTAGACTTTGTGAGGAAACAACTATGATTAACATTACACTTTAAAAGTGAAAACAATCCTTTTGCTAACCAGTATTTGGAGGCCAAGAAAATATAAGATGTATGGCTCAGTGAGAGAGTGCAGGATTTTAATGTAATTTGTCGAATGACAATTCAAGGAATCTTGATATTATTTGAGTATTAATATCTAAGATATTCGGTTATATTTTGTATTACCAGTGGAGGTGTGATGATCTACTTTGACCGTATAGAGGTGGTCAACAAACTGGACATTAACGCTGTATATGACATCGTGAGGAACTACACTGCTGATTACGATAAAACACTCATCTATAACAAGGTTCACCACGAACTCAATCAGTTCTGTAGCATGAACAACCTCCAGGAAGTCTACATTGATTTGTTCGGTAAGTTGTCTGTTGTCCCAGAAATCACCAACATTCTAAATTGTATAGTTAACTTCACTGCATTCTCTAGCTGGCCCCACTTAATAAAAACACCATTTCATTGTTTAGTGTCCATTAGAAGATGATAATACAATATCTGGTATGTCATATAAATATTGTTTTCATCCTGTGACTATGTAATGTCAGCAACTAAAACCTTTATATTGTTATAACACGTAGAGATGTTTAGCCTGATTTTGGGTTTTATATAAAGACATCATGATGGAATTAATTTTATGAGTACATTAGTAGTAATTTCTTCTAATTTCTTCTCTTTCTTCTAAGCTAATGTTAAACACTTCATAGTTTATTAAAAAAAAAGAAATGTGTTCCCAAGTGATGGTGTTTGAAGTCAGCATCCAATGTAACCATAATCTTGTTCCTTGGTTATGGTGTTTGAAGAAGGCATCACATGTAACCATAATCGTGTTCCTTGGTTATGGTGTTTGAAGAAGGCATCACATGTAACCATAATCTTGTTCCTTGGTTATGGTGTTTGAAGAAGGCATCACATGTAACCATAATCTTGTTCCTTGGTTATGGTGTTTGAAGAAGGCATCACATGTAACCATAATCTTGTTCCTTGGTTATGGTGTTTGAAGAAGGCATCACATGTAACCATAATCTTGTTCCTTGGTTATGGTGTTTGAAGAAGGCATCACATGTAACCATAATCTTGTTCCTTGGTTATGGTGTTTGAAGAAGGCATCACATGTAACCATAATCTTGTTCCTTGGTAATGGTGTTTGATGATCGCATGGCATGTTACAAGTATAAGGTTGTCTTGTAATACCTGACTTAAGCATGATGTGGAGAAATAATTCCACTAATCTGCTTCTTCCATATGACTCCAGCCAAAATTCTAACAAATGTTTAATATAAGATTGAGAGCCGTGTAAGGTCCTGTTCAATTGCCATAAAATGTGTACTTAATTATATATGTATTTGATTTGTAGACCAGATAGATGAGAACCTCCGGGTGGCCCTACAGAAGGATCTCATAACTATGGCCCCTGGACTGACTGTCCAGGCTGTCAGAGTGACTAAACCAAAGATCCCAGAACAGATCCGTAAAAATTATGAAGCAATGTAAGTAGAATCATTGGTGCACACTTTATACCGTGGCGTCCGTCGCCCGTCCGTCGTCCGTCCGTCCGTACGTACGTCAACAATTTCTTTAAACGACTTCTTCTTCTTAACAACTGGTTGGAATTAAACTAAATTTGACTGGAAGCATCCCTAGGTGGTGGGGATTCAAAATTGTACAAATGGTGGGGCTGACCCCCCAGGGGGCTGAGGGCCGTGGCCAAAAGGGGTCAATTTGCCCATATTGCTTTAAGCCACTTCTTCTCTGAAACTAAGAAATGGATATCAACCATATTTGACTGGAAGCATCCCTAGGTGGTGGTGATTAAAAATTGTACAAATGGTGGGGCTGACTCCCCAGGGGGCT